AACCTATCTTATTTAGACAGACCTGTGGAGATAATAACGTGCACAAAAACAAGACAGCAAAACCAAGCAACAAAATAAAACAACAACAACAAACCAATGACAAAAAAAAAAAACAAAACACAACACAACAAGAAAGAAAAGCTTGTAGTGGTTTCCGGTCGAGTCTGTTGGGGCACCAAGCCCCGGCCCCAAAGTCTGTTTTTGTATTCCCTTGTTGCTCGTTGCTCTGTTCCCCTTGCTGTTCTGTTGCACCCCCTTAGTGTTTTGCCTCGGTGTGGTAGAATCAGATCAGGTGGAATTCCCACACTGTATCTCCTGTGTTGTCCCCTGTAGGGCTGTGGGTCATACACTCCCTCCTTTGCTGTTGACTGTGGTGACAGTGACTGGTTACCACTCCCACAGCTGCCAGACCTCCCATGGGAGCACTGCTAAACATGCCATATGGTGCCGGCTGACCAGTGAGATCAGAGGAGCCTCTGCTGTCTTTCCCTCCTTCCAGAGCTAGCGCTGAACACAGCCCAGTTTGCAAAGAGTCTAGCCATGCTCGGGAGCTCCGAGGACAACACGGCATTGTCACGGGCACTCTCCCAGTTGGCTGAGGTGGAAGAAAAAATCGAGCAGCTTCATCAGGAACAGGCCAACAGTGACTTCTTCCTCCTGGCTGAGCTTCTGAGTGACTACATTCGCCTCCTGGCCATAGTCCGTGTAAGCTTCTGTTTCCTCTCCCCCTTCTTGACCCCTTGGTTTAATCAGTGTGTTCTTCTGGGCTCTCCTCCTTCCCATAAAGTTTTCTCCGATCACAGCTTCTAAATAGGTATGATTTTTCTAACTTTTTTTGAGAGGGAACAAGTGTAAACCAAACCATGTACTTCACTCTCGCTCCAAGTCCTGCAGTCGTTTCGAGGCCCACAGCCTGTTTCCTGGATGCATTGAGAGAAAAGCCCACCCTTGAGTTTCCCAGTAGGCTCTCCTTAAGTCAAAGCTGGATGGCACCCTCTGCTCCTTTCTGCAAGCAAGGCTTAGTTCAGAATTTGCTGTCTTGGCCCCTGGAACAGTGACTTCCTCAGCCCTTTGGTCTTTGCCTCCTTAACAGTAAACGGCGGCTCTGCCTGGTAAGAGCTCTTGCTGGCTTCCACTTGTCTCTCCAATGTGGACAGTCAGGTAACTCCCCGGAACAGGCTTGGCATTGCATGGAGGAGTGTGGCCAGGGGGCTGAGAGCTTTGTCACCAGAGCCCTCTGTGTGCTGTGCTGACCACACTGGTAACAACATTGCAGTCTACCCCTCAGATCAAGCACCTCACCTGGTCTCCTGGTGATCAGAGTAATCTGGTTTCCCATAACCTCTCAGGGCAGCCAAGGAAACTTGACTGGGCAGTGGTATTTGCTCTCGCATAGCTTCCCTGAGATAAAAGAGCCCAGAAGGAACGGAACCTGGCACCGGCCCTATAAAAGTCTGAGTCTGAACCTGATTTGACTTGGGACCAGGATGTGTGAGCCCCTACGTTGGAACAGAGCGAGCCGCCCCTCTCCAGAGTACTGGTTGTCTGGAGAACGCACTGCTCCAGGGCGCGCCTTCCCTCCGCAGTGGAGCCGCTTGCTATAGCCTGCGAGAGGGCTCTCTGCTGATGCCAGTGATAAGAGGCTTGAAAAATGCCAGTTGTGGAATTCTTAGAGCTAGTCAGGCTGTTTAAGAAGCCCAGTAGTGTAGTGGTGTCATGTTGGGCTGCAATCCGCAAGGGAGAAAGACTGGGCTTCCTACTCCAGTAAACAGGTACAGTCTTGGAAAGCCACAGGGTGTCACTGTGAGTCAGCACGCCTCAATGGCAAACTCAGTGAGTTTGGTTTTGTGAAGTCAGGCTGTTTAGACTGGAGTGCCAACCCAGGGAGTGTTTCTGGAGGAGGCTTTCAGAGAAGAGCGTTCTTCAGGGTCTTCTCTGGAGAACACAACTCTTGGCTCTGAACCCCCAGGTTGAAAGAGCCTGTCTGTAGGAGAGCAAGGGGCCACCTAGACTCGAGCTCCGAGCTCCGTATGCTGGCCTTTCCTCAGAGGCCTCGTGATCCTGAGAGTAGAGAGTTTCTGCTTTCCACTGAACCAGGAGCTGGACCTCTGTTAGCCCAAGGGATTAGGCTCCAGTCTAACTGGGCGTCGACTCTGACCTAACCCTTTCATGTGGAAGCCTTAGGGAATCACAGGGGAGCAGCGGTAGCAGTGCAGTGCACTCCCTACAGTGTGAGTTTTGGCAAAGGTCCCCTAAAAGCTTACAGAGGACTTTTAATAGAAGTGGAAACAAATGGAGCAGAGCCAAGAGCTGGCCCCGTGCACAGACCCAGGCTGCCTCTTGAAGCCCACAAAGATGATGCGGGGCTGCTTACTTAGCCCAGCTACTGCCCTTTCCTGGATAAGGGGGTTGGAAACGAAGAAACCCAGCAAAGAGCCCTGAGGGAGCTTCTTGGAGGCCTGGATCGTTTCAGGAAGTTGAGGGTAGTGTTGGCATGAAAGGAGGGAATCTCTGTGGTGGTCGTACCATCTGGATCTTAGTGTAAAGGTGGCTTCCTCGTGATGGCCGTCCTTGCCATCTCCCAGGCTGAGGCCCATTGTCCTGTGATTGTGTAATGATTAGTGTGCGGTTGGCCTCTTCCATTAAATTCCACCTGTCGTGAAGGTGGCACTGTGTATGCTGCATTCTCCACTGTGTTCTTAGCTCCTGGCACATGGCAGGCACCCAGCAAAAGTGTGTGGACTCCGGGACTGATGGAACTGAGGGAGCCAGTTCAGAAGCCATAGTTTAGGACTTTGGCTACTGTGAGCCCAGCCATCCAGCACTGGGAGTAGCATGAAGCAGCGTGGCAATGGCCCATTGGAGGCTTGGGGAGGAGTTTTACCCAAGCTTATGCTTTTAGACATTAACCTTCTCAGCTGGGCACTAACACATGGCTGCGGAACCTGCCCTTGCTCAGTCCTTCCTTGGCACAGCTGCTGGGAGAGCTTCCCCGGGGGCAGAGTCGGAGGAGCTCCTGAAGGGCTGGTTGTGCTCCCACCCCATCCCCCACAGGCGGCCTTTGACCATCGCATGAAGACATGGCAGCGTTGGCAGGATGCTCAAGCAACACTGCAGAAGAAGCGCGAGGCTGAGGCCCGGCTGCTGTGGGCCAACAAGCCTGACAAGCTGCAACTGGCCAAGGACGAGATCTCAGAGGTGAGCCCCACAAAGCAGCTCGGCACAGCTTGCCTTCTGCCTCCTGGAAGAGCTTGGATCCATCCCACCAGGTGTTCAGAAACCCACAGCAGGCAGTGAAGGTATCGGTTTCTGGGGCTGTGACTGGGCCAAGCCTTGGAGTATGGCACCAAGCCTGCTGTGAGGCCTGGCCCTTCTCTTTCTCCTCCAGTCCAGAGCTACCAGAGCAGTCTCTGGAGGTGGAGTCCTGGCATGGGTCTCTGAAAAGCTCTCTACCTAATTCTGAGATGCCCCCTGTTGAGAGTGAAACCGAGTTTCTCCTGAGGCACACGGTATCTTTCTCCAAAAGTGGGCTTCCGGCCTGTGTGCTGCATCCCCATGTGATTCCTGATCTCATCCAGAGGGACAGACAGACAACATGAGCCATTGAGGTCTCATAGCTAGAGCTGCTATGCAGATACAGAGGCTTAATGATGATGCCATACTATTAAGCAATTCTTTCTCTCTTCTTCCAGTGGGAGTCGCGGGTGACTCAGTATGAAAGGGACTTTGAAAGAATTTCAACAGTGGTTCGAAAGGAAGTGATACGATTTGAGGTGAGAGAGAAGATCCTACATCCCAGTGTTCAGGTCCTGTTTAATAGTGTTGTTAGTTTTGTCCAGGCATGTTGAGTAGGGAAGTGCCAGTGACTTGGCATTCATGGTGAACACGTGAGTCGTGTGTGTGTGTGTGTGTGTGTGTGTGTGTGTGTGTGTGTGTGTGTGTGTGTGTGTGTCTGTTTTCCTGAGGCTGTGACTGCGAAGCTCCTTGCGGAACCAGAGTACTTAATTATAAAACAAAGTATGCAGCTGCCATGGACCAGTCCAGTCCTTTGTCCTCCTTCCTCCCTCATTCTCCCGCCCTGGCAGAGGCTCTTTGGCTGGAATTGGAAGCTGTTCCAGCTCCTTTGCTTTCTGAGGCCGTGCTTGGCCTTGGTCAGCATTGTAAACAACAGGACAGTGTAGAATCCTGTCTCCTATAGAAAGAGAAATCCAAGGACTTCAAAAACCATGTGATCAAGTACCTGGAGACACTCCTGTATTCACAGCAGCAGGTACGTATGTGTACACGACTGTTGTCTTCTCTCCCCGCTCCTGAACAGAGTTGCCTGCTTAGGGGTTGGATGAGAGGTAGGTGGTCTGGTACCACTTCTGCGGACTGGCAATATCTAAAAGTAGTAGCCCTATTGCTCCGACGAGGGCCTTTTGCTCAGCAGGAAGATGACTCAGCTGCTGTGCTAGCCCTGTGATAAGTTAGTTTTTGAGGCAAACCCACCCTCTTACCTCCCTGTAACCCATTGTCCTTTCAGTAGCCGTTCCATGGTACCATCTAGCCTTCTTGAGGTCAAGACTCCAATCAGTGTGTAGAACACTTGCACCCATTGGGAGGCGCTACCTGAGCCTGGGCAAAGCTATGGCCTCCACAGGGCTCCTTCTGGGCCAGAAGCAAGGCTGACCTCAGAGATTTCCCTGGCCCTTAGAGCTTAAGAAGCGCTCCTTCCCTGAAGTCTGGGAGGGCTGCTGAAGACAGGGTAGTGACTGGTTGGCCAGGCTGCCCAGGGCCTGCTCTAGGTGCAGCATGTCTTCAGCTCTGCCTCAGCTCCCATTGGCTGGCTGAGGTGCTTGGGGAGTGCCATAGCTCATGCTCCGCCACTGGATGGAGGCTCTGGCTTACTGTCACCAATTCTTTGCAGCTGGCAAAGTATTGGGAAGCCTTCCTTCCAGAGGCAAAAGCCATCTCTTAATGGATCAAGGACACCAAGCCCACCTGCCTGACGCTGCCTTTTTATACACTGCCCGCCTCCACTTCTGAAGGACCGAGTGCTGCATCCTGCCTCGCCCAGACGTAACCCTGTCCTCTCTGCCCTACAACCAGCCCTCCCCAGTCACTCGAACTGTGTTTTATTTAGCTTCCATATATATTTTCTTACCTAAGAGAATAGTTTCCTGCTTTAAGCAAAGACCTACACTAGGTGGTGGAATTATGGGACAGAAGTCGGTATTGATATAAATATATAAAGACAAATGTTTATTTTTCAGGATGTGGTTTAGGAACTAACTGGGAATAACGTTTTCTGTTACTCCTGAGGGTGCCATGAAAGATGACGTAATAAAATGCTTTCAAGTCAGGTGACGTGACTCAGCATGGTGGTGCTTTTTGCTTTAACCTGGAGAGCAGTGGGGAGGAGGTCCGGACTAGGAGTTGCCCAGCGCTAGTAAGTCTCTCTCCACAGGAGCTGACCTGGATTTTGCGTCTGCTTCCCTGTGGGACCGGACTTTTTCTCTCTGCCTACCTCAGCTATCTGTTCTGAGGGTCTCCTGTCTTTTTCCTTCTGATTCCTGTAGGGGTTGTGGTCATAGAATGAGAGGGGCAAAACTCATCTGCAAGGGAAGCAGACCTCTTCTATACCTGCTCTGACACCCTAAGTTGCCCTGGGCCGAGTCTTACCTTCTGATGGCAAAGACGTGGGTCCTAGCCCTCTTGGCCACCCATCAAATGTGTCCTAGGTGCCAAGGCCACTGGAGCTGTGTCTGAGCTGATCTGGCCAGTGGAACCTGCGTCTCCGATCAGCCGGGCTGGCCTCCCCCTCAGTGGTGGTCCACTCCTGCTTGAGCTGCGCTGGTGAGAGGGAGCTGGGAGGCACAGCCAGACGTGGTGACTGCCCTCCAGGGAATCACGCCATTCCCAGCCCCGCCACCAGGCTCAGCAGCAACAGAACCCACCCCAGAAGTGCCCCTCTGTCACTTCTTTCTGGTGGGTGTCACTTCTTTCTGGTGGGTGGCTGAGGTGGGGGGAGGGGCAGTCTGAGGCACAAGTAGGGAGGCATTGGGAACACTGTCCTGACATGAAAGCTGCCACGAATTTGTCTCAATGGGGTTTATTTTGGGGTTTGGTGGGGTTTTTTGGAGGTGTTTTGTTTGTTTTTTAAGTCATTGAATCTATTCCTGCTGTCCCAATATATTATCACCTTTGATTTTACCCTCCAATCTTTTATATGCTTGTTTTTATATTGCCACAAGAACTATTTTGTACCCTGCTTTGATCATTCAACATAATATATGTTGTAAGCCTTTTTCCCTATAGTGTTAAATGTCTATATAATTTTAAGGCCTCTAGAGAGTGACTGTACCATAATTCTAACTCATCCCTTGTTGAATTCTTAATATTTTTGTCATTTTAATATAATCTCACACATGGAGAAGCGTAGTATCACAAAGGACTCCCCGATATCCTTTCCTAAGTGTTTGTTTACCCTGGGTCTTTTCTCTTCCCTTAACCGTCGTCTTTCCAGAATGAGAGGAAGAGTAGCTTGCACATACTGGGTCCTTTATCTCAGAAACCTCAGTATGCATTTCTGTAATGACCAGGACCTTCCCGCACACCTTCCCACCTCCGTCCGTGTCTTCAGTCTCAACTCACGCTGGCGTGTCAGCACATTTAACCTTGCTGTGCTACTGTGGTCTGATCCATAGTCCCTATTTCAATGGTCTCGTGTCCCAGCAATACCCTCGACATGGTTTTCTGTTTCCTGGCCCAGGGTCATGTCTGACACTTCATTGTCTCGTCATCTTTAATATGGAAGTTACTTATCTTCGCTCTGTCTTTCATCACCTTGACATTTTCTAAGAATACAGGCCAGTTATTTTGTAGAATGTTCCTCAATTTGGGTTCATCTAATTGTTTCCACAACTCGAGTAGTGGTAAACAGGGTGGTCTATATGATGCTGGTCAGTTGATCTCATTGATGGCGATTGATGTTGACTTGGTTAAATTGACAGCTGCAGATTTCACCAGTGTACTGTTTTCCCTGCAAATAATTGGTGGAGAAGTTCTTTGAAGTAATTTAAATGTTTGTTCCCCATCAAGCTTTCACCCATCCAACTGCTTATCCGTATGGATGCATAGATTCTTACTTAAACTTAGAGTCCATTGCTTTGATTTATCTTGACCCTTAAACTGCCCCAAATGTCTGTGTCTTTTTAATGTGTGCCATCACGGAGCATCTTGTCTGCTGCCCAGGCCTGGCATCAGGCACTTCTGCAGGGAGTCTTGGTTGCTTTTAGTGGGAGAATGGTATTTAGAAAGCAAGATCCAGGTGCAGCATAAGCTCATTGCTGGCAGCGTGTTAATTGCTTCTAGCTCAGAGCACACAGAGTAGGGAACTGGAGAGGAAGATGAGAAAGGGTTTCAGCGCTTCCTCCTTAGCCTCATATAGCCCAATAGTAACAGAATCAGTTGTCAAAAACAAACAACTCACTGCCATCAAGTCATTTCCGACTCACAGCAACCCTGTAGGCAGGGTAGAGCCAGCATGTGGGTTTCCAGGACTGTACCTCTAGGGAGCAGAAACCATCTTTGTCCCTGGGATGGAACTGCGGGCTGTGGTCAACAGCCCAAAGCATAACCGAAGCAGCACCACTGCTCCTCCTGACCGCCAGGGCCTGTGGAATTCTGTGCAGAGGCTGACGATGGGGCAACAAATGCCAGCAGGGATCAAAAGATAGGGCCCGAGCCATAACCCTGTGCAGAGAATAACAGTGACACAGAAGAGAAAGGCGCCACTCCACCCTGGGACTCAAGAGGGAGAGACTCCTGGGGGAATGTGATGCTTGAAGCGAGTTTTTTTTTTTTAATTAAATAATTTTATTAGGGGCTCATACAACTCATCATAATCCGTACATACGTCATCTGTGTCCAGCACATTAGTACATACGTTGACTTCATCATTCTCACAACACTCGCTTTCCACTTGAGCCCTTGGTGTCAGCTCCTCATTTTCCCCTCCCTCCCTGCTGAAGTGAGTTTTGAAAAGAGATGTTGTCCCTTCTGCTTTGACCTTCCCAAGTCCTTCTCTCTGCTGGTTACGGCAGTGTGAAGCAGGCACATCTGGGAAGGGAGGTGCTCGCTGTGGCCAGAGCAGCCTCTTGGAGCGTGATGAGCAGAAGCCAATCACAGAGTGGTTTTGGAGCAGATGCAGGGAAAGAAGTGCGGAGGGAACGGATGTGGCTCCTGTGAATGGGAAGGGCAGGCAGTGGTTAGAGGTTGGGGAGAGACAGTGAAAGGCTTTGCTGTATTTAAAGGCCGGGCCGTCTTGAGCATGGTACGAAGGTCCAGAGGAAAGGAAGGGAGTCACCAGTAAAGCCTGACCTGGGAGAAGCTGCAGTCCAGCGCCCAGGAGGAGGAGGTGTTGTGATGAGAGGATGCCTTGCTATGGAGTTGCCGGCAAGAAGTACACAGGCGGAAAAGTTCATTTCATGCTAGATAATTACCATGTTGCCAGGGATGTTCTGTGTATGTATTTTGAGTCTAGTGAATTAGAGGAAAGGTGTGGAGTTGGGTGTATACTTTGATTATTTCCCCAAGAATCATTCTGAGCCCTAGAGCCCTAAAGATGGAGACTTAGAGCCAGAGGTAAGTTGGAGGAACTTTAGTATTCAATGTTCAGTATTTGGTGATGTTATAAATGAGAGAAGTAGAAGGGTATTTTGTACCTTTTGAACTTTTCCAGAACATTTTCATTCTACATGTACCTGTAGCTGGCACCCTACAGAAAAGAAAGGGCCTTTGCAGAAACTCGGCTTCTATGAGGAGTGAGAAGGGGATACTCTGCCGGCGACGGGGCTGCATCTAGATTGAGAGGCAGGATGGTGGTGGAAGCTGAGCATGCTGCAGAACCACACCCACTGCCACTCCTAGCGACTAACTCTTTATGGGGATACAAAGCCTCATCCCTTCCCCAAGGAGTGGCTGCTGAGCTTGAACTGCTAACTATCCAACTAGTACCCCACTAGGCAGGCCATGGGGGCTCTTTCTGAGCTTGCTTAGGGCCCAGTAAGACAGACTAGCATAGGCGTCCAGGGTCGTGCGGTTTTCCCCATCTGTACTCTGCAACCGGGGTGGGGGGTGGTGGTGATGCACTGAATGTCCTACTGTAGAAAAGGACACACCTTTGCCACAGTCGGCTTGCCCTAGAATTACATCCTTTGTCTTTGGCTAAAATTCCTTGCTCCGGGTTTGGGCAGGGTCTGACGAGCTGAGTGGATGAGAATAACTGAGCTGCCTTCTGAACCCAGAGAGCGGTGCACGCAGCCCACGTTAGTGTCTCCATAGCAGAAGCAGTTTGATCTTGGCTCTCCCATCAAACTATAAGCCCCCCGAGGTGTATGTCTTCCTAACTCCAGGGCCTGTAGCAGAAACGTATACATAGTTAATAACAAGTTCCTATTAGATGATTGTTCTCCACTTGCACTCTGCCCCTGGCACCGCCCTCTGAGAGAAGACACCCAGCTCACTTTGCCATTTTTTATCTCCCAGGCCTTCTCAGCAGCCAACACTGGCTCCAAGTGTGCTCGTCATCGGCTGTAGAGCCCGAGAAAAGATGTGGTGGCTGCTGGCATGAGGGCAGTTCTACTCTGCGCTATGAGCATGTACTTGATGGCAGCAGGTTTGGGTTGGGGGTCTTTAGAAACCCTCCTGCAACACTGGACGGGTGTGTGTAAGAGACCTCCTTCAGAAGGGTCATCGAGTTGATTCTGACCCGTCGTGCCTCTAGAGGACAGAGCAGAACTGGCTCTTTGGGTTTTTGAGACTTTAAATCATTTTTAATCATTTTATTGGGGGCTCGTACAACACTTATCACAATCCATACATGAGACTTTAAATCTTTATCGGGACAAACCACCTCATCTTTCTCCCAAAGAGAGACGAGTGGGTTTGAACTGTTGACCCTGGTTGTTAGCAGCTCAGTGACTAATCGCCCACTACACCACCAGAGCTCCATGTGCAAGCAGCTAGAGCATTCCACTGTAACCTCTTTCCACGTGCCTAACTGCAGAGATACACGTCATAGCATTATCAACAGTTGTAAAACCTGAACTGAGTCTTACTGTCCATCAGGAAGGGATTCGGTGAATTATGGTACAACCCTATTATACAGCCACTGCAGATGATATATAACTGTGTTTGTTTGACAAGGAACTCTCTCAACTATGTATTTTGAGTTTAAAAAGGTTCTATAATTGCATGTACGGTCTGATCCACATTGACATAAAGCCTCTTCACATGGGAAGGATCTTGATTCAACTGTTCGCTATGGATACCTCTAGGAATGGAATTTTGCTTTCTTAC